AATCATCATGCATACACATATGCTTACCTTTAGTTCTCCTAACAATTTTTTAAAAGGCATTCAGTTACAGATATATTCTGAGATACTCAAGAATTATCCTTAACAGTTACTAAAACAGTAAACAACCTCTGTATTTGGCTTATATGCTTTACTCCTTCACCTATTTTAATTTTCTCTGTTTCCCTGTCTATGCTGTTTTATTGAGTTTCCAAAAAGGCATTGCCCAAAACCTGTAGCAGAAAGAAACCCAGTAATAACAGAAGATAATGTCTGTCTCTTGAGTGAATAAACTTAAGAGATGAATGGTCAAACCATACACAAAAGGTATGAAGTTAAAAGTCTTACGCATGAACTACAAAAAGTGCACTCAGGGAAGAGCTAATACCAATATACAATACCAGCTGATGCTTTCATTCTTTTCTAAGTTATTCAGCTCAGATTTTCTCACTCACAAGTTCCACAACACAACAAAATCTCACAAAGTACAATGACTTTTTGAGGGAACGACAAGTCAAATTCACACACACACAAAACCACCACCTTAGAGAGCCCAGCTACTCTAGTAAAACCCCAAGTATGAGTACCTGAAGAAAGGGGCTTTCATCAGCTTGGCATAAGTTGTACAGATAAATAAGCCACGGAAGCCTAAGAACAAGCTTTGGCTGACATCGCACTGCAACTGATATGACAACATTAATTGTAATAATAGAGGCTTTTCAAGTACAGATAAGCTTTTAAACGCAGCGTAGACATTTTCATTGGTGCTGTGTTGGATATTTCAACAGCTGTAAGAAGAGCCTAGAAAGCAAAGTCTATGTATCTACAGTTTATAGACTGGTCTGCCTAGGAGGGCCATTCAACAGTCTTTGAGCAGTGGCAATCAACACCCAACTCAAATGATTGCAAATGTCAGTCTCATTTTTCTGAAAAAAATAATGACATTGTGGCTATATATCCAAATGAGTCATCATTTAGCCCTTAATTTTATTTAGTTGAATTAATAATCCTTGTTATCAGTATGGGGTTTTCATATGACCAAGTCATCCACTGACCTAGACAGGTTAGACTCCCCAACAGCTATTAGAAATGCATGACACATTCTGGACAGAAGCAGCTGTCAAGGCATGTAATGGAGTCACTTTTGTGGGAAATACCTTAACTGTGGCTGGTGCTGCTGAATTAGTCATACTTCCTTACTGCCGGAAGACGAGACACCTTAGTGGAAGTTTAGCTCTTCTATCTCAAGACAGCGTGTTTTACAACACGAGTTTACAGAAAGAATCGCAGTAATGAAATAATCAAAATTCTGCTTTTTAGTCATAAACATGCAATGCCCATTCCAGCCAACACAGCATAAACCCGAATTTTTCTGGAAGAAAATTATTGTTCAAAACACAAAATGTTAAATTTTGGATTAGTACAAAATCTGTACTGCTAATGGCACAGAAGAGCAATCAAATAATTAGTTGAAAGCTTGTAAGCACATACAGATCTTTTATGAACACATAGAAAGCTCCTGATATTGTTTCTTCACTTTTAATGATATGCATTAAAATTAAAAAGTTAAAAATTGTATCTAGAATGTAAAAAAAAACAACCAAAAATGAACAAAAACCCCCACTCCCAAATAAAAAACCCACCGCGTCACTGCAGGATTTTAAGCACAAATTCATAATGAATTTCACTCAAAGTTACATAGATTTTACCCATTGATTTTTTACTACAAACTTTACAAAAACTTTCTACTTCGAGTCTTCCCTGCCTCAAACACATTACTTCCTTTCAAATGGCAGAAAGAAGCTTCTGAAGTTCATCAGTGTAATTTCTTAGCTATTTATCTATTTGATGTCTTATCAATAGTACCAAGTACATCAAGTGATGAAGTCTTGCTTACATTATGAGTAACTGACTGTTACATTTGGTGTATCTTAAGTACCCCTAATTTCTCTTGGGCTTTGTATGCTTGCTTCCTGTTGTGTTCTATCAGCTGGAGACAGCCAGTGTGTCTATTTTTAGCAGTGACATGTTAAACAGCATACCCAAAGAAAGATGCAATAGCTGTTGAGCAGTGATACAACATGAGTGAATAAACATCTCCTGCTGACTTCTTGTCCCTTCTGGAAAAGTTACATGTTTCCATTTTCTCAGTGTTTGCAGAAGAAAGGTATGGCTTTGCTAATTAAAGGTTTGCAAAGCTTAGATTGAAGTTTTCAGTCCACATCCCCATAGACTGCATTTAGCCTGCCAGAACAATTAATTCAACACATTTCCAAGGAAGCCTCAGGTTCTCCCTATCACACTTACATACCTTAAGCTACACCACACAATGAGTTTCTCAAGTTTTCTGTGGATATTTTTATCAACGTTACCATTATCTGCAAGGCTAAGCTGTGATTATTGAATGTCCAATGCTGAACAAGCCTAGTAGCCAGTATATACACATTTCACCTTAACAACCCCTTGTCACATCATCTACTGTGTTAATTAGTACAAGATGACAAACCTTTCTTCTGGATCAAAAGAGAACTAAGTATAGCATCCAATTTGACTGATCTTCTAATTCCAAGTGGCAAAATTTCTCATTAATTTGGCATAACAAGGACCAAGTTTTTTTTCTGTTTGTGTTTGTGTTTGCTATAATTTCACAGGGTCAAGTAGCAAAACCTTAGGCAATTTCCATCACAGCCATATAATTTTCTTTTACAGGCAGATGGATGGCACATTATGAGGGTCATTCAAAAAGACTTAGCACCTCTGAAGTTACAATCAATACACAAACTGTGACATATTGGTGCTTTAATATGCCATACCAAAAGCCATTTTCTTACCACTCTAAGAAACAGTATTTGAAGGGTGGGAACAATACTTGAGTTCTGCTTGATAGATGTATCACATGTGTTCATGTTTTAGAGGTTTATGAATCAAATCGCTCGTAAAAGGGAAAAAAAGGTAGAAATTGAGGGGGAAAAAAAACCCAGACTGGAAATAATCGAAAGGAATATGCTACACTGTAGACCTTCTGTTAAATTTGTTGTATGAACACTGTAATCTTCATCTCATCCAAGAGCACAGATTAGACAGGAAAACACAGGAAGAAACAAACCTGCCCAGAAGCTTGCAGCTATCTTATTATAAATTATATGTAATTTATATCTCATATATTAATAGTGCCATAACAGAAAACTATGTGAAAACAACTGAATTGTGCGACAATTTCAAATATTGGTGCTAATTTCAAAATACTTTTTATTACTGTATCTCGCACTGTCACTCACAAGTTAATGCACTTTCAGAAATGGGAAACTGCTATATCCCTAGGTATAAAAGTATGTAAAAGTAGTTTCTGTAAACCCTTTGGTCTCAAAGTTAGCATTAACATTTTCTCTTCTGAGAGGTTTAGCATTTTCAATTTTGAGTGAATTTGGAAGGTTTTCTTCTCTTTGACTAGCGTTTTTGAGGTTCACTAGACTGTAAATATTAACCTGAATTTATATACTGTTTTCCTAGTTGCAAGTTGTGTCTTTGCACTTACATAAATCGAAGTGAAAATATGTTGGCTCAATTTTCCAACAACATATTGAAGAATATGGCAGAGGCAGTTATAAAAAGGGACACAAGTAATATAAGGTTGCTTAAAAATCATAACTTGAGCTTTTATATAGAATTTAAAATTTCAGTGAACATTTGCATTCGGCATTATCCTACAGAACCTGTAAACCCACATCAGTGGAAAGTACTGAGCAGATAACCTCAATTAATCAAATCCATAGACCTACCTCATTTTCATTCCCCTGTCTTTATTTGCAAACACCACTAATTTTCTTTTTTTTTCCACTCTTCCACCAATACCAAAACCATTTTTATAATGTCAGTTATTCTCATTTCACATTTGTGATCAGGGCCACATATATTGCTTACACTTAAGACTTAATGGCAGTTCTCATTATTAAACGTTCTCATTTCAAGTCCCCAGTTACACAATCTTCCTTCCATTTACAGACTCCTGCTATTACCTTTGTAGTCTCTGCATTGGCTCAGTAAAACCTGCTTTCCAACAGTAAAAAAAAAAAAAATCACAGCTAATTATTTCCTTTTTTTCAGTTCATGTTTGAAATGTTATCAGAAACACAGTTAAAGTTTACAGACAGTGGTGGGTCTGTATTTTATGCACTGAATATTTCTCCTGATAAATCAATGTAACACATCTTGCTGCAACAAGAGCAAGGTATTTGATTCCCAGTGGGGGAGGAATCGGCCCAAGGGACACTGCATTCTTGTAGACCAGTAGATAACAAGTTACCATCTACTGAGATTGAAAAAAAAGTGGAATAGCTTCTGTTAATGCAAGTTACAGTCAATTTATAACCCAAGTTATCTGAAATAGGAAGAGACATAAACAGAAATAAAGCCTCAAATCTTCACAATGTTCTATACCAGAACACCAGCAACCCTCAGGGGCAGACTGAAAGTTAAACCTCAGCCTTTCCAGTAGTTTCACCATAGCAACATTACAAGGGCTTTTCAGCAGCTTAAACAGACAGCTGCAGCCTACCTAGCAGGGTGAACTGAGGCTGCTTGAAGTCAATTTTGATTCTGCAGCAGGAACCACAAGATGAAGACAGAGATGAATGTGTCACATCTACAGCTCATACTACACCTAAGAAATACAATTCTGTGTGTGCATTGTTTTGGCCACTGCTGTTTTCCGAAGCCTGAAAATAGCTCAGCCTTTACCAAAAAGGTGATTTTGTTAACTAGTGCTCTGCTAAAAAAAGTGAATTGTGGGCACCACAGCTCTTCCCAGAGGAGACAGTACAGAACACAGAATAAGGACAGCGTGCTAGCACTATCAGACAACAGTAGAACAGTTACACAAACAGAAACTAGGAACAGGTTGCATTGTGGAATAGTATGGCTAAAGAGATAATTTAGTAGCATATGGTTTTGAAGTGATTTTGTATATATATATTACACATTAAACAAATACATATTGACAAAGGTTGCAGGTAAGATGATTTTATTTTTCCAAAGTGTTTATACAGAACAGAATGTTCTGGTGACTTAATTTTAAGTTTAAAAACAACGATAAAGCCTACACACATACAGGTGTTTGCATACTGTACTGTGAAGTAGATCAGGCTCCCCAGTGTTCTCAAATTTTCAAAAGAATGAACTGTTACAACTTTCTCTCCAAGAGAGATTACAATTTTTAGTTAAAAAAACTAACAAACAAAACAGCCAAACCCCAAATAACTCTCAGTTGGTGTTTTACCATGCTGTCATTACCTTGTCTTCTATTAACCCACCGCTACTGATTTATTAATATTGACTTTAGACTGCAAAGTTTTTAGATCAGGAGACAACATAACAGATTCAGTCATTGTAAAGACCTATGTATTTGGGGAATCTCTGAAAGGGCATTAACAATAATGAACCACTGAAGTACAACTGCACAAATAACAGTATTTGGTCTGTTTTGGTTTTTTTTTTCAAATGTTGTAAATATACAGCAGTGAAACAAAAAGTTCTGTTTGATTGGTACATCCAAAAGCAGCAGGTCATTAATAAGCTCCTGGAAAAGATGCAGTTTGTTTGTTCTAGGTAGGATTGTTATCAAGCAACTGTGAATCCGTTACTTTCATTCTTTGTAGAAGGGCTCTAGTTACTTGCTAAGTTTATTTTCCTGTTTGGACAGGAAATCGTGTAGGTAACAGTATTTCTGATTTTATTTAAATCATTTCTTATTAAAGTAATTTTCCAGAAGCAAACATGATCTTCCAAAAGACAGCAGCTTTAGATTTAGAAGTTTATGTTCCTTGTATTTTCAAACACTTCCTCATGCCACCAGTTTTCAGTAAATATAGTAGAGCTTTGCAAAGCCTCAAAAAGACGCTTATAGTCTTCTGGGTATACGTTACGTGTTTGAGCATTTTCTGGAATTTCTAGTTCTCTCAGTAATTGGCTACCATTGTCCAAGCTCCATGAACTGAAACAAACAAACAAAATCATAATGGAGCATTTCTCTCTGTGAAAAATTAAAGAACAAGAAACAGAACCTGAAGGGTCATTTCACTCTTTTGCAGCTTCTAGAAGTTAACAACTTCCAACAACACAAGTTATTTTCAATCTCTACTGCAAATCGGAAGAAACCTCTGCTAATAAGACATATCAATACCAAAGTCCCCAGCAGACAATACCAAACTACATAAGTTCATTGCTATGAAAACTAGACCTTTTATAAATGTGCATACACATTAGCTATTTCCCAGACAAGAAAAGGGTGTATAAATACACAGAAGATGCACATTAGAAGCCTTCAAGGTTAGGTCCACTTCCCAGCTTAAGGATCTGATAGGACAAGGGGTAATGGGTTAAAACTTAAACAGGGGAAGTTTAGATTGGATGTAAGGAAGAAGTTCTTTAAGGGTGGTGAGGCACTGGAACAGGTTGCCCAAGTAAGTTGTGAATGCTCCATCTCTGGCAGTGTTCAAGGCCAGGCTGGACAGAGCCTTGGGTAACGTGAGGTGTCCCTGCCCATGGCAGGGGGGTTGGAACTAGATGATCTTAAGGTCCTTTCCAACCCTAACTATTCTATGATTCTATGATCTGAGTGGCAATCAGGTACACCACTGAGCTTTAAGAAAGAAATCCATTATGGCTCATTGCACTTGTCTTTGCTAAATGAGTTATCGGAATTTATTAGCTTCCCCCTGCCATGGCCCCTTTTCTGGAAATTAACTTCCATAAACTATTACCAGAAATTAGAAATATATTCATTATTTTCATTAGCAAGTTCAAATCAATGCTTTCGAGACTGCAAACACTTTCTGTTTATGGGAAACGGAAATCTACTCATCATGAAGCAAAGTGAATAGCTCCGATATAATAGCAAAAAGAATAATTTAAAGAGTTGCATAATTGGTAAATAAGTCTAAAGCCTAGTTTTTAATTAGATAACAGAAAGCCATTTGAGAACATCCTCACTCCACCTTCAATAACCTTCAGCTGTTTTCATTAATATTATTTTGATGTTTGATATAAACTGAAACTCTCAGCTTTTAATTTCTGCACATGCAAAACTCTTCATGACTTTCTTCTTGCAGATACATGACCTCATTTCCATTGGAGGTACAATTACTGCACATCTACATTCTAAATACCTGTCAACCTTCCTGTCAAACCTCAAGTTTTTTACCATCTGGGAATAGAGGCCAGGAAAAGTCCCCAGAATATGGTATTGCAAAACCACAATCTTCTATTCTACATGGAGACAGTTACTTAAAAAAAAAAAAAAAACGTATTTCAACTGCAAATAACTACTGTTTTGAGAACATTATTTTAATATTTTCCTATATTTCTTTGAAGAAAAAGTATAAAAACTGTAATTCTTTCTTACTTACTTTAATCTATCAATAAGTCTAGACTTAGGTTTAGCAAGACACTGTTTCACCATGAAAACAAAGATGGGTGAATTTTTGGGATTCAAACCTCCTGTAAACAGATTTTGCTGAGGAGTCAGTCGTACCAAACATAAATGGTCATTTGGCAGCCGCTGGAAAAAAAAACCAAAACAAAGCACAAAAATCAAAATAAGTCACTGAAAAGTCATCTTTAAGACGGGTTTGTCTTTAGCTCAGAGTTTCCTCTGTGCTAGCAGTAACATTTCTTAGACAGTTTTAGAAGTCTTAACAAGTTGATCTCACTGGAAACAGGCTTTCAAATTTTGTTCTAGAATGAAGATGCTTTGACTCCCCCAACCCATAAACAATAAAGGAAACAGGAAACAAAACAGACATTTAAATTTCTTTGTTGAAATAGGTAACACAGGTTTGATGTGAATTTTCAAGATACTATGTGGCTTACTTTCCACTCCTCAAATTTAGCTTTCAGACTCATACTTTTCAGCAATTAACTAGTGCGTGGGATCTACACTGGACATGCAAATAACCATTTTTATCAAAACCAACAGGTTACTAATTGTGCTATTACTTGTGGTAACACTTGCTTTGTTCAAGCAGGTAGCTGTGACCCTGTCAGTCATTTCATTTGAAAAACATTTTACCTGTTCACGTCCTTTATGCTGTTTATTCACTGTATTTTTTCTTTTGTGACAATATACTAATTTATTTTAGTTTCTAAGTTAATAGCAATTTTTCACCTCACTTCTGATGCATCTACATGCTGTCCTTAAGTTTTAATTAGAAGAACACATCTTTAAAACATACGTGTAAATGTTGTTATAAAGTTATTTTAACCTTCCAATTAAAATGGTTTAGCTGCATCTCCAAAAGGAGAGACATACACACAATTATCTTACCACACTTTTCGGTATCGCCAGTCCCCCATTTTTCAAATTAGTGAAGAATGATGACCAAGGTTCCTATGGGAAGGAGCAGATATATTACAGAATTGAAGTGCTTTGTTACAATAGACTATTTCAATTCAAAGGGACCTACAATGATCACCTAGTTGAACTGCCTGTACAATTAAGAAGTTAAAGCATTTTGTTAAGGGCATTGTCCAAATGCCTCTTAAACACTGTCGGGCTTAGAGATCTCTATGAAGCCTGTTCCAGTGTTTGACTACCCTCTTGGTAACAAAATGATTCCTAACGTCCAGCCCCTAAACTTCCCCTGGTGCAGCTTCAAGCAATTTCCTTGCACACTATCACTGGATACGAGGGAGATCAGCACTTTCCTCTTCACTTCCCCTCCTCAGGAAGTTGTGGAGAGCAATCACGTCACCAGCTTAATTTCATAACCTTAACCACAGCTTGATGCTTCAATCTATATAGATCCCTACCGTTCTTCCACTAGGTGGGTGACCTTACCACAAAAAGGTATCAAATTGAACAGGACTTTCCTTTGTGAACCCATGGTGACTGTGCCTCATGATTGCACCATTCTTTAGATGCCTTTCAACAGTACACTCTATAATCTCCATAATTTTTTCCAGTTTCTGAGGTCTGGCTAACAAGTCTGGGGTTAGTGTAACAGTGACCTGAGCCTTCCCTCACACCTTTTTCTGTAGACTGGAATAACACTAACGAGTTTCCAGAAAGCAGGGACCTGCCCAGATTCCAAAGACCTTTGAGAAGGGTCCTGCCATAATATCTACTTGTGCCTTCAGTACTCTGGGATGTACATGGGGCACTCAGGCCCCATAGACTTGGGGACATTCAGCTGATACAACCGGTCCCTTACGATTTCAGTGTCCACAAATGGAAAATTGCTGCTCCCACACTGGGCAGCCCAAGGTCCGTCAGTATTGTTAAAGACTTCTGAAGCAAAAACCATATTAAATGCCTCTGCATTTTCTTCATCCCTATTAGTCAGATAACAATCTTCAACAAGTACCATCTTATTTTATAAAAAGGACATGGAACTGCTGAAACAAGTCCAGAGGAGGTCCACAAGGATGGTCAGGAGATTGGAGCACCTCCCATATGAAGAAAGGCTGAGAAAGTTGGGGCTGTTCAGCCTGAGAAGAGAAGGCTGCGTGGAGACCTCATAGCAGCCTTCCAGTATCTGAAGGGGGCCTATAGGGATGCTGAGGAGGGACTCTTCATTAGGGACTGTAGTGATAGGACAAGGGGTAATGGGTTAAAACATAAACAGGGAAAGTTTAGATTGGATATAAGGAGGAAATTCTTTCCTGTTAGGGTGGTGAGGCACTGGAATAGGTTGCCCAGGGAGGTTGTGAATGCTCCATCCCTGGCAGTGCTCAAGGCCAGGCTGGACAAGGCCTTGGGTGACATGGTTTAGTGCAAGGTGTCCCTGCCCATGGCAGGGGGGCTGGAACTTGATGCTCTTAAGGTCCTTTCCAACCCTAACTATTCTGTGATTCTTCAACTCCTTAATATTTATCTTAATACATACCTTGTGGTATAAGGTATTTGGAAGAAACAGCAAAAGTTTTAATTTTATATTAGCAAAACATTTAAGCTATGAAGGTAGATTCCTAGAAAAACAGATTACAGAGACAGATAAATATAAAACTTAGCATGTTTGACAAGGTAAGATAGTTACTCGCTAGCAGAAGCAGGCCTGCTTGGAACATAAAAGCACCAAGACTCAAAAAAGTATACTAAATGAAGCTCAGGAAGTTGAAAGCATACATGACAGCAAAATGCAGAGGACGTGAAGAGCAGGCTGTGACAGGTTGGAATAGCAATCTTCCAGTATCACACAACCCTTAGTAAGACAGAAAAGGCTCATCTGTTCTGCAAACATCTCTTTCTTACCTACCAGCTTCTGAGAATAAATATTTGGTAGTACAGTTGCTTCTAATGAAAATACTAACACCATAGTTAATGATGCTGCTTACACAAAACGTGACTCTTTCAGGTTTTTACATCCAAATGTTTTGGACAGCTTTCCAACTAACTTAAATGTAAAATTAGCTTCCAATTAGTTCACTATAGTAAAACACTATAAAGCCTTTACTAAAAATAAGTCCATAGCATTAGACTATGTCATCTGGTAAAAAAAACTTACCATGTGCAGTAGCTGAATTTCATATCCTAATTGACAAAGTACAGTAATTGCTTGGTAAGACCCAGCACTCCCAGGTTTTCCTGTTAATATCTAACAAAATGGTAAAAAAAGAGCATTTTTGTTGCATAAACCAAGACTGCTTCTTTATCTAAGCAAAATCCTTATATATAAACATATATGTAAAACAAGTGCTAAAAATTCAGAGTTAAGTCTAAAATGCCAGGGTAAAGTTCCATTAGGCCTCAAATACATACTTTATGCTATTTTAGTACATCTTTCAGAACACACGGTTAGAAGACATTATGGCAGTCTAAGTATTTTTCCACAGCAATTATTTGGATAACTGAACTGTGTAGGAATTTCCAGCTTATAGTTTCCGGTCCCTTTTAAGGCAGAGAAGTTTCACAGGGAAGAGAAAAGGGGATTATGTTTTGTATAAAAACCGTAACATGGGCAGAGTTATCAGCTTGCACTGATAAAGCAATATTCCCAGTAACACACACAAGTGAAGCAAGCCAAATATTAGGTGACCTCACTGAACATTAAGCAGCTTGCACAGTCATCACCCTGATCAATATTACAGGTCAAACAACTCTTAGCGCAAGAAAAAAAGAAAAACTCGTGGTTATTCTCAAACAGGGTGAAGAGAGCAGCAATTACCAGGAAGATTTTATTTCTCGTAGTAGATTTAGAGAGTCTCATCATATGATCAACTGGAAAAGCCTCAAACCAACCAACAAACCAAAAAAAAACCCCAAACAAAAAGGAACCAACAATACCCACTAAAAGAAGGTTTCAACTGCTTTTACTTAGGCACACAATAAAACCAGAAAACTTAATAAAAACCACAGTGAATGCATTAAATGAATAGGCTGCCCCGTTTGCTCAAGAATCTAGCCATTAAAAACATATCATGTAAGTGGATATTTCGGTAGTGTCCAACCTGTCATTTTGCAGAAGAATATACTTAGGATTTTCAAACTTTTTCAGTAGGGTGTTAGATATAACACAAGTTGTGTAAGCACACTGGGAAGTCTTTGCTTACTTCAAGTAATTAAAGGTCTGTGGCGCTGTATGAACTTCCCAGTTTCACAGAACTGTAAGTACAGTTCTAATGGTTTGGGACAGCATGAATTAAGAACACATAACCCAGAAAGCTGCTCTGCAGGAAAATAAATTTTCTAGCAAAACCAGTAACTTCTGTGAAGCACTACTTACTCTTTACTACCTGTGAAACCTTACACATACCTTGTACTCTCTTTCACTTATAAAGATGTTGAGTTCTGCTCTTCCGTATCTGTATATGGAACTGCGTTCATACAGGGCAAAAAGATGCCTCCAAAGTATGAGCCTTTCCTTGCTTTGTGGTAAGATTCCAAAAATTCTCACAGGTGTGTCTGTATAATAGTGTGTAAAAGTATCTTCAAAATTTTGCAGTATTGACTAGACAATGTCATTCATTCTAATGCATAAGCCACAAACAATTACATTAAAAGTCTGTCAGCTCATGTTGTCCAAGAACAAATACAACACAAGCTGTAGTCAAAGTTAAGGCCAGTTTGCATTAGACTAAAATAAATAATAAAGAGAAGCATACACTGGCAATTTCATATTCCCATAAGAGTTTTTTGAAGCTATCAAGAACATAAATAAAGGTGAAATGTAAGAAATAGTATCCAGTAATCCAGCACATATATTAAATATATACCTTGAGCAAATTCCAAAGATTTTGCCAAATTGCCTATGCACCCTTCAAATGTATTTGTAACTTGTGTGATCATATACATGTACCTGCCTTCCAAGGAACTGCTGCTACACCCACAGTTTCAAAAAGTTTCTCAGAACATACTGCAGGTGGTTTCACTGCTCCAGTCAAAGGATCCAGTCTGCAGAAGTCAGCGTAAATTACCTTTAATTGTCCATCCAGGCTATTCTCTAGGGACTGAATAAAATTAGCTTCAGTTGAAGAAATCTGGATGCAGCAACCTGTCTTTCAAAACATCCAACCCAAACACCAAACAAAAATGTTCAAGCACTACCTAAAATCGTTACTCAGTCAACAAGAGTTAAATCTCAAAGCTGCTTCTTACAGCTGATAAAAAATTAGCTTCCTTCATTACATGGGGCATTTTGACATTTTCATGCTCTTCAGCTGCAGTTTTAAAGCACTAATTTAAATTAGTAAGATGTTCTGCAATGTGTTGCAAAAAAAGGCTACATTCAGCTATGCAAACCACTGTATTTCATCATTTACAAATGTAATTCTGCCTTCTATACTCATTTGAAATCAAGTGAGAGTCTTTGGTTCCAAACTTTTACATTACAGCACTGTAACACAATCCTTCTAAGTGCAACTTCTGCAGCTGTGTCTGACCACCTGTGAATCCACACAAAGCCAAAGTAACAGGACAGGACAACACATGTAAGTGTCTTAATGTTATCAGTCAACTGTGGGACAATAGATTAAATAATACAGTGTGATAATCAGAATAACCAAGAGTATTTTTACAGATTTCTTAAAGCTACAGACATCTTGCTTAAACATACCTGCAATGACTCTGACTAGTATTAGCCTCAAATATATGCATGAAACTAGCAACAGGAACTTGACTAGCAACTGTGAACTTGAATTCCCACATACCCAATGTCAAACCAACTGATTACAAAATAGTTATTTCAGATGTTACACGTAACAATCAACAGCTAAGTCCTTTTTGATCTAACAGTTATTACACAACTATAAGTTAATTTCTTATTTCCCTTTAAATAATAATAATGTGCTACCAAATCAAAATCATACCTGTAAGTTTGGAAGAAAAGCTGGGTTACTTTCAAGAGCTACCACTCTAACACCTGCATTGAGCAGAGTTCGGGTCAAGACTCCAGGACCTAAGTGGGGGAATAAAATATATAAATAAACCCATTTGAAGTGCATTTTTTTCTAAGTGCTTTTCCCAACACAACACTTGGGCCACGCCACCTTCAGCAGGTGATAATTTGTGTTTGTTTAAACACACTTCAAAACAAGAGTTAGAGATTTATAAACAGCATGCCAGACATCACCCAGTGAATTACACCAAGCACAGCACTACGATTAGATGAAGAACATCAGATTCAATGTTTCAAAGATTTCTATCATTTCTTCTGCCAACTGAAATATACTTTGAAACCTTACCCATACAAACCGTACCCATACTTACTCTACAAGTAAAATAGCCTCTGCAGAACTGTAAAAACCCCCAACATTACATACCCGCAGAGGGCTAGGTGCGTGACCACCCCAGTCTTAGGGCATGCTTTTACTGACGAAATTTCACCTACAAAGCCTAAAACACTATCTGGACAGAAATTTACATCTCTGCTTACACCAGTGACTCAGGTCTCCAGACTGAGCACTCTCTCATTCCCCCTAAGCTCTGTATAAATGGACATACACGCACGCACGCACACCCGCCCCAGGCACAGCGCAGTGCCGCGACACTCAGACGGTCCTGCCCGTCGCCAACACTCGCCCCGGGAGGGTACCAAGGCGGCGGCAGGCGCAGCCCTAGCATGGATCCAGTCCTGGAGGGCCCGGGCAGCGCCATTACGCAAAGGAGCCGCCGGAAGTCCCGGGAGCAGCAGGGCCCCGTTCCCTCAGGACCACCACTCCCCGCGACCCCGGGACAACAGCCCACGGGCCCGTTACCGCCGGTGGCAATCGCGGCAGCTCACACTGACCCCGCAAGGTCACCGGGACACGCCGAGCAGCGCCTCGTCCCGGCGGCCCCAGAGCGGCTCACCACCGGAGGGCGGCGGGAAGAGCGCGACCGCAGCCTCAGGCAGCTTACCGGGCCCGCACTCGAGCAGGACAGGCTGGGAGCCGCGGCTGGCTCCTCTCTGCAGGCAGCGCTGCACCGTGCGCGCCAGCCGCGGGCAGGCGATGAAGCGGCGGACTGCGACACCGGTATGCTTCACCTGCTGCACCAGCTGTTCCGCCTCCGCCGCCTCTGGCACCCGCAGGCCCGGGCTCGGCCACTGCCCTGCCGCCCGCCTCGGAGTCACCCAGCACGGCGGCAGCCCGCGCAGCAGCGGCCGCAGCCCTGCCGCCAGAGCCCCTGCCAGGAGGCGGCGGCAGCAGCCCGCAGCGCCCGGCGGCACAGGGCCTGCCAGCATCGCCACGCTGCCGAACCCCATGCTAGCGAGCACCGGGAGCGCGATTGCCGCGGCAACGGGAGCGTCACTTCCGCCTCTCCGCGGCCTCTCTAGCGCGCTTCCGCTCTATCGTCGGAGGTCTCTTGTCCAGCCGCCCTCTCTATGGTGCCAGCCCTGCACCGCCGGGAGCTTGCGGCAGCGGCGGAGACGCGGTGTGGCGGAACCGTCCCCTCATCTCCACGCCATGCCGAACGGCGGGTTCCGGACGCCCGAGCCACGACGGAGCTGAGGTGAGCTGGCAGGGTCTGAGCCGCAGCCGGAGGAAGGGATGGAGAGATGTTTACCCCGCTGCCGCCTCCCGGAGAATACCGGCGGGTGAGGGCCGCCGGGCGGGCGGCGGGAGGGTGCCGAGCCCGTCGTGTCGCCGGGAGACACGGCGAGGTCGGCACCTTCCCGCCGGCGGCGGCGAAGCTCCGACGTGGGGCGAGCAAGGGAGGCAGGGGGAGGCCGGAGCGGGCGGGCTGAGGTGAGGTGAGCCGAGCTCGCTGCCCGCCTCAGCTGGGATGTCAGGTGCTGGCGCTGCGGCTCCTCCACCCGGAGTGGTGCCCCGGGGCAGCCCGGAGAGGTCAGACGGGTGGCCACGATTGGCCGCTCCGGAGCGGGAGGCTTCGGCTGGGCGGCGATGGAGCGACGCCTGCTTGGCCGGTTGGTGGAAGTCCCAGGAGCTACGTATTTAGTTTGAGGTTTGCCTGGGTGTTCACGGGCGTCTTTGATCCGTCAGCAGCTAAATAGTCACTTCGGGACTCGGTTCTTTGTATCGGCCGGCCGCCTCAGCAGGTGCAAGATCCTGCTGATACGCATCTCCGACATCATCTTTGTCGGCTTACTTCTGCTCCATACCGCCTTGCAGTTGTTGTTTAGGTAAACCCGGTAATTCGATAGCAGCGACATTGTCCTTTCAACAATCCCCCTAATGCCTTAACGAGAAATAAGTTTAGGGACGTCTTCAAAGTGTTCTCATGTTCTGCAAAGCTAGAGCTCTTCCTTCAGGGATGCTGTGCTAAACCCCGTCGGTGGCAGGTGGGTAGCTGCGGTGTGATGGATGGAGTTCAGGGGACGGGGAGAGAGACTCTTCCCAAAGGTGTTTCCCTGCTCCCTGCCTAGCTTGTGCAGGAGGCAAGAGTGACCTGACAATCACAGAGTATATTGGTCTTCAAATTAACAGCTCAAAAATAGGCTTTCTGTATGATTTTGTGCATATAGCTTAATTTCTTATATCTCTTTTCTCTGTTTGTAAAGTGAGAAAGTGGTATGTGCCTACGTACTAAACAAAGTCATTTTGTTTGACGTAGCTTTATTAATCAGAACCTGGGACAGAAAACTGGGTCTTTGCTATTCTCTGTTTTGCAGATCTTAGTGTGGCATGAAGAGGTGCTGGGCTGAATTTAAGAAAGATTGCAAATGTCGAGTGCAGCAGTTCTTCGTATCTACAATTTATTTTTAAATACTAGGATCGTTTACACTGAGTGCTGTAATAGTCTACCCCGTGTCTTAAGGGAAATGGACAGACTGTTGTGATGCGATACACCTCAGTCCATTTTTAAACTGGACGTTGTTTTTAATAGCTTTTCTCCTGTCTTATGAAGTAGTCTGATAATTCAGTAATTCAGAGGACTTTTAGAACACTGAGCAGAACTTGATTTTCGTAGACCAAGTATTTAGTAATGTCCCAGTTCAGCAGTCCTTATTAAATTTTGTTGATAGCTATGGCCGCAGAAAAGTTAGGTACAGTTGCTATATTACTATGTAGCATTCAATGTATTTTTAGGTTAATTAAAGAATTTTGGAACTTTTTGTTGCTAGTCATAGAGCTCAGGAGTGTTGTGTTGGGTGAATGGGCTGTTGAGCCTAACTGAGATTGCTCAAAGGAGTGTTTGCTAAGTAGAGACAAAGTGCCCTGACAATTCTTCGTACACATAGAAGTGATACAGTTTTCTTCGTATTTTTATTTACTTCAGCTTAGCACTTGGCTGCATTGAACCATAGATCTCTATAGGATAGATTTATGATCCTTTATTCCCTTCCTCCTTCCCTCTAGAACTGCCAGATATATACTGAATCCTGCATGCATAAAGGACTACCTCCTTCTGACCTGGTCATTATCTTTGAGAAACTGTTGAAACCTTAGGAAAATGGTAAGTTTTGTACTTTTTTTTTTTTTCTTTGTTCAGAAATTACAGTGCAGACAACTTAATACATTAAAGTGTATCCAGAGGACATCTGAACAGTTATCTTTAAGTTAATGGCTGATTGTAGCATATATTTTCTACTTTTATCTGGCTATTGCCGCATGCAAATATTTGAATTTACAGTCTTACCTCATAGAGCCTATGTCCTTGTAATTTAAGTGCATTGTTGATTGCTCTGAAATTATTGTTTCCTCCTAATTATTATTTTTGAACTAAATCAGAGAAAGAATCAAAAGGGTTACCTGTTTGATTGGATTCCAGCCTATCCTTGAACCAGAACAGCTTATTAGTTGTATGGGTCAAAAAGATAAGCAAAGAGAAATTTTTCTTCTTGGTGATTCTAAATGTCTTGTGCTTTTATTTGGTTCTATTAAAAGTTTATTTTTTTAGGTTAATATGAAAGCATTAGTATTATTTTGCTATGCATTAAGCACTTCTCCCTAGTTAATACTGAGAAGCATTTCTAAGGGGGGAAATTGCAATAGTACATTAATCTTGATCTCAGTTTTTGAAACTCTTATGCCCATACTTTATGTACACATTCAGTAGAACTGCCATCTTGCATAAGAGAAGTCCCAAGAGGTATGTAAATGGAAATTTGCAGGATCATAATTTTTCTTGTCCTGGTAGTGATATTTGTCATTAGAGTATTCTATTTGGCTCAGGATATAGAATAAGTTCATTAGTGTATAATTGCTTCAGAAACTCATTATCTTTCTATTTTATTCACTATATCCCATTTTATCATTGACCTATTGTAAAATTTATGATTCACTCTTAATTTTGATCTTCCTTTTTTCTTTTGTTATGCATGTACTGGAAGCCTTACCTGTTACTAAATACTACCTCTATTGTGAATTTTTTAAAAAGCTTACAACAGAACTGGTGTTCAGAAAAAGAGCTGGAAGTCTCACTTCTGCGTATTAGCTTCAGCACTGTGAAAATAAAACCACCTGCTATGTGCTTGAATTGGCAGAAGCGTCTCTTTGTGGAGATGGAGGATGTCACAGTGTTATTGTTTTCACTAATTTTATTCAGCATACTTCAATAATCTCGTAATACTTTGGAGAGTGAACAAGGAAAATAGTAGGAGTTGTAAGAGTTTTCTTCAACTTAAGTGCTCTAAGTGCTGTGTACTCAGAAAGGCCATCTCTAGGCAGAACTGGATTTTAAAAATCAGTCTGAGAATTGCTTCATTCTTTTGTCCTAATCCCTTGTCATCGCTGCCCCCAACTCCAAACCCATACATGCATAAAGGAAGTGTCCCAAGAACTGAAGTAACATTTAATGCTATACCACAATCTGGTTTGAGATCCAGTAAGTGGGTTTCACTGTAAAAGACCAGTGAAAACTGGTCTTTATAATGAAGTCAGCAATTTTGCATTTAAAGCTGCTATGCTCAACAAACCTTAACTTACCACTTTTCTGTGTGTGATCTGTTGATGAAAACTGACTGGACATTTGATTTGTGTATGGTGGTGGGAGAGTTTTTTATGCTGTTTGGCCAAGCTATTAGTAGTAAGGGAAGGTTCCTTGGAATCCAGCCTGCACTGTGTGACAGTGTAGCTTGCAGCCTAGTGCTGAAAACCTGATTAATAGACAATTACTGTCCATTAAAAGTGAGCAGATGACTGGAGAGTCAGTGCTCAGGTACCAATTAAGTGGAACTATTGAGTTCACCTTTGAGCTAGTTTCTGAGCACCAGGTGTATGGTCATGCTTGTTAATATGAGCTTATTAAAAAAAACCAAAACACTTCTCCTTTGGTGTTTTTCTGATATAATAACATGCTGTTTAATACGAAAGGGTTGACTTTGCAGCCTTACAAACATTGCAGCAAAGTTCACCGCTGACAAAAGAGCCTTTCAGCACAAAACTACACATTTTTAAATGAGCCGGTGGCTTGAATCCTGTCCCTACCGATGCTAATAACAGTGTCCATGTCTTATTGCTGCTTAGTGTTCATTATAAGGGAAAATATTTTTGACATTTTCAGTGGAGAGGCAAAGGGTTCTGTGGTGTGAAGACTGTTTCATAAGCTGTGTATTGTGAGGCATTTTGGCAGGGGTACAGACTTTCTCACTCTGTGCTATATCTGTTCTCTGTATAAAGAGAAACGCAATCCCTAGGGCTATCAATCTGGTGTCTTACATCAGCACTAACCTTACTGCAGGTGTTATTTGTGTGCATGTAAAAAAGAAAAGTGCTATTAGACCTTTGTAGACAGGAGTAGAAAACATTAAAATAGGTGCATCTTCTGTTTACTTCTCTCAGAACTTCTCTTCATTTGATTCTGACGAGTACATTCAGCTGACTCAAATTCACTCAGCCTGTGTTTATATTAAGTCATAAGTCTTTATTTTGACAATGTTACCTTGCTTAAGAGCTTGTCATGCTAACGATTTATATTTTTTTTACTTTTTTACTTATTTACCTGCTTACTGTAAAAGTGTGATGTGTTTGAAAGTGTATTGCTAACTCATAAGGAAAGTGTAGGACAAAAACTACATTGTGTCAGATATTTCTATAGGCAAATTTTGGTGTGTTTCATGCTTGCTGCTTAGGGGCATGAACTTTTTTCTGCTGTTGTTCCAATACACCACTCCATCTGTCCAAACTGAATTGCTAACATGTGGCCTTATAAATGTGCTCTTTGACACTGCTCTGTCCATGGAATTCACTTATTTTTCCTGGTTTATTTTATTTGTAAAAAAATAATACTACACTGCATGGCAAATTGAGATTACTTCAAAATAACTTCAGGATTAAAAACAAACAAACAAAACCAGCCAACCAAAAAAACCCAAACAAACCCTTAATCC